ATATTTTCCCCGTAATGGCGCGGCCAATAATGATGAAACAACCAAATTACTTCCTGGAAACATTGTGATAATAAACGAGGCGAGTGGATACAACGCTCACTACATGTCGTAAAGGTCATTGGTTCGCACCCTGGGCTGGGCTACCTCAGGGTCAGTCAGGTGTTAATTGTGTACCTGACGTTACAGTTACGGCGGTCGAGTTCAGTGTCGGTCTTGTTGCCTCTTTCTGTATCGAAAGTTTTGTCGAGATATAATCCTTTGAGTGAGGAGTGAATGGGGAGGTGGTGAAGGTGTGTGTGACCTACTTGGTGAAAAATACTCATTACTCACGGTCGAACACTATACTTCTGTTGTTATTATTATTATTATTATTATTATTATGATGTTAGTTACGGTACATTAGGTAATACAGCATGAGGGAGATCTAAGTAGATATATAGATAGATAGAGACAAATGTTAAGCGTGTGTTAAGTATTGTGTGACCTGTATGTATATTAAGTAGTGGCCATGTGTTAGAGCAGGTCCCACATGTGCCACAGGTCACTCTCCTCCCACCTGTGTTACCTGTACGTGTACCTGCGTGACTGGTCATTACCCATTATTATACATTACACCACAAACACGTACATACATACATACACTCTTTCTTACATACATACATAATTTTCATGTAGATCCACAATGGAAACGCGAACAAGATAAATCTCGATAAAACCTGCACACAGAAAATGGGAAACACTGGATGACCTTAGCACCTTCATTTGCCTCTTGAATAAAGACTAAAGCTAAGGTGCTCCCCTATTCTGTGTGGTTTATCGACACATACATACATAATAATGGGTGCCCCTCGAGGATGGCCGGCCCTATGACCACCTAGGCGTGAATATGTTAAAGTGTAGAAGCTGTCACCAACACAACAACTACACCCTAAGTCAACGAGCTGCATGACCCAGTGTCAAGGAATAGTCAGAGAAGACCGGACAACTCGCCAGCAGCACTGGCTAACCGTTACCCCGGAACACGATCCGCAAGTCGATTAACATCCAGGTTCCCAATTACTGCTGGGTAGACAGAGGCAAATGGCGTAAAGAAACTTGGCCATAGTTTCACTCTGCCCGGAGATCGAACCCGAGGCGAGGGAGCATGCTGACCATTACACTACATACATACATACATACATACATACAACTACATAATCTCTATAATAACCCGTAAAACCTATTGTCAACAAGTAATATCCATTTTTGGAGGTAAATTTAGAGTTAAAAAACTACCTTACAGTATTATGACAAACACCAACACTGTCTCGCTAGGTTAGGTTAGGTTTGAGATAATTTATGACAGTCATACGGGAGTACCTGATCAAGCTACTGTGATAATTACCCCATAGTCCATAATACAGTGTTACATAATGATCCACACACCTGCTGCACCAACTCTTGATCGACCGACTACAGCAGGAGGCAGGAGGCAGCTGTGAGAGGCGCGGGCAAGTGTGTGCCTCTGCTTGAAGGGTTTAGTCATGCAACTTTTTCAGGCGCTAACAATCAGGTGTGACCCAATAACTTTCAGCCCTTTTAACCCCTTGCCCCTTAACACCTTACCCTTTAAGCCTTCAACCCCCTTCACTCAACCATTTAACCCCTTAAGACCACCCCCTTACCTCTTAACCCATTGGCCCTTAACCCCCTTCACCTTACCCTTTAACCCTTCACTTAACCATTTAACTAACCCCCTTAACACCAACCCCTTACCTCTTAACCCTTAGCTAGTGGTTACACCGTCAATTCCTAACCACAGAGGGGATGTGTAGCGCCTGGTCACAAGTGTATTAACAACTCTCTCCCCCTGACCCCCCTGACACCCCCTGGATACCACCCACTCCTTGACCCCCTCCCTGACACCTCTTACTACCTCCACCCCCACCTAACCCTGCCGCCAACCCCTGACACCCACTGTCCCTGCCAACCCCTGACACCCTCCCTGACTACACACTCTCGTCCCCACCTACTGCCAACCCCTGACACCTCCTGACTACCACACCTCTCGTCCCTCACCTACCGCCAACCCCTGACACCCTCCCTGACTACCACACCCTCTCGTCCCTCACCTACCGCCAACCCCTGACACCCTCCCTGACTACCACCCCTGACCTCACTTACCGCCAACCCCCTGACACCCTCCCTGACTACCACCCCCCCCTGACCCCTCACCTACCACCATCCCCCTACCAGGAACTAAGAGACTGGAATGCTGAAGTTATCGTTATATATCGCTCGACAGTTATCATGTGTACCTTTACTACTACCACCACTACTGCCACCACTACCACTGCCACCACTACTACTAACTACCACCACTATCACTACCAGAACCAGCACCAGCACCACCACTACCACCACGACTGCCACCACTACTACTAAGACGACGACCATCACTATCACCACTACTACTAAGACGACGACCACCACTACTACTAACACGACCACTATCACTACTACCACCACTACTAACACGAACACTACTATTACTACCCTCCGTAAAGAATCATTGTGTACACCCCCAACAAACTCCTCCTGGTGTACCAAAAATGTCTCGCGTGTTAAGGGAAAATAAGAAAGAGAAGGACAAAACTAAGTGTTTATCGTAAAGTAATTTGGTTTGTTAATGATGTGTGATAATGACGTATAGTTGAAAGATAATGATGTTAGTGATGAATCATTGTTTGTGTTGTGTTAGGTTAGGTTTGGTAAGTTTAAGTGGTGTATTGGTATGTTAATTAGTAAATATATATAAATAAACACACACACACTACTCAGTTCTTGGTTTGATTAAGAAAGATTTGTTTTGTGGGACCGACAGACCGACAGACCGACAGACAGCGTCCTACTTTCTGGCAGTACGGGGGGGGGGGCAGCCTTGAACCACATCTGTCACGAACCTGTGTGTAACTCGTTCGGTCAGGCTAGGTCAGGTAAGGTTAGGTTAAGTTATGTTGCTTATCTGTAATACATACAAACATACATACATACATACATACATACAAACATACATACATACATACATACATATGCAGTTACATAAACAATAAAGCTATCGATGTAATAACGCCTTATGACCGTCTCACCTGTCGGACAAAACGCTAAATACACTGTCGGACAAAACGCTAAAAACCCTGTCGGACAAGACGCTAAAAACCCTGTCGGACAAAACGCTAAAAACCCTGTCGGACAAAACGCTAAAAACCCTGTCGGACAAAACGCTAAAAACCCTGTCGGACAAAACGCTAAAAACCCTGTCGGACAAAACGCTAAACACTCTGTCGGACAATAAGGACATATCTTACACGTATTATAGATCAACACACACTGATCTCTTGTTGGTGTGTAAACTTGGCTGTGTGTGTGTGGTGAAACATTACCTGCAGTATGTGTCCTGATACATGTATACTTGTCTTACTATACATAAATTACCTACATTGTTTATATACATGTTGAACTGTATACCTGTACTCTCTCTCTCTCTCTCTCTCTATATATATATATATATATATATATATATATATATATATATATATATATATATATATATGCTGAACTGTACACATGCATCTAAAGGACACTTCGATATAACGGACTCTCCTCATCAAATAGTCCGGACTCTAACGGACTCACCAAATAGTCCGTTAAAGAGAGGGTTCACATCTAACGGACACCTCGATATAACGGACTCTCCTCATAAAATAGTCCGTTAAAGAGAGGGTTCACATCTAACGGACACCTCGATATAACGGACTCTTGTCACCAAATAGTCCGTTAAAGAAGGGTTCACATCTAACGGACACCTCGATATAACGGACTCTCCTCACCAAATAGTCCGTTAAAGAGAGGGTTGGCATCTAACGGACACCTCGATATAACGGACTCTTGTCACCAAATAGTCCGTTAAAGAAGGGTTCACATCTAACGGACACCTCGATATAACGGACTCTCCTCACCAAATAGTCCGTTAAAGAGAGGGTTGGCATCTAACGGACACCTCGATATAACGGACTCTCCTCACCAAATAGTCCGTTAAAGAGAGGGTTGGCATCTAACGGACACCTCGATATAACGGACTCTCCTCACCAAATAGTCCGTTAAAGAGAGGGTTCACTGAATTTTGAAGTTTCTTAAATATGGGTTTAGGGTTTATGAGATGTTCCGTGCCAGAATGACGTAAGTGACATAGCAGGTTTAAGATTGCAGTTGTTTTAATATTGTTTAAATTTAATGACATCATCTGAAAAATTCCCCCAGTTTATTTCACCTAATGATTAACCTAACCTAAGCTAAACTAACCTAACTTAACCTAACCTAAGCTAACCTAACTTATTCTAAATGGTGTTTGTGTGTGTATGTGGGTGCAGTATATGTATGTGTGTGTGTGGGTGTATATGTGCTTGTGTGTATGTGTGTGTACGTGTACAGCAGCAGATCAATGCATGAGTGGACGTTGTCAAACTCTCTTCATTATCCTGAAAGACCACGTACACGCGTCTGTACGTACATGAACAACACGTATACCTATCCACGTACATGACATCACTTACACTTATCCACGTACATGAACACTAAGTACATGCATCTCTATGTACACGAACACCCACGTACACACATATTCACGTACACGAACACCACGTACACACATCTTCACGTACACGAACACCACGTACACACATCTTCACGTACACGAACACCACGTACACACATCTTCACGTACACGAACACCACGTACACACATCTTCACGTACACGAACACCACGTACACACATCTTCACGTACACGAACACCACGTACACACATCTTCACGTACACGAACACCACGTACACACATCTTTACGTACACGAACACCACGTACACACATCTTCACGTACACGAACACCACGTACACACATCTTCACGTACACGAACACCACGTACACACATCTTCACGTACACGAACACCACGTACACTTACCAGGTGTTGGTAAGTTGGTCTCCAGTAAGTTTCTTCCACTTGTTACCTCCGCCCTCCTCCACAGTCTGGCCAGGCAGGAGACATTCCCTGCCTCCTCCTTTGGTCTCCTCTTGACCTCCAGCACTCTCCTTTGTCTTCTATATTGTTGCTCACTTGTCTTTTCCCTGGCCTCCTGCCTACCTCCACGTGGCCTCCCCCTGCCTCCCACCTTCACCTCGTCCAATTTACCTCCACCAGACCTCTACTTGTCCTCCAACTCCACACCTCCACTTGGGCTCCACCTCCAGACCTCCCACAAATCACAAATGTCTCTGGCCTCCACCTCCACAAGATCTGTACTTGGCCTCCTATAAACCTCTCTCTGGCCTCCAATTCTTTTATCTTGTTTTTGTTTTGTTCTACATTCCTTCTCGTGGCCTCCTCCTCCTTGACCCCCACTTGACCCCCAACCGCTTTTTATCTCCCTCGTGTTCCAGTCACAAGAAATCTGACCACCAATCACTGAGGACCTCTACCATACTCCATTCACCAATCACGTCCTCTCTACCAATCCAGGAGGAAAGCGAAGGTGATTAGGTCTCAGGTAACTCACTCCAATCATCACTACATAGTTTCATAGTCGTGTGTTTTTCTTGCCTAATCCATTACTGTGATTGGCATTAAGTCACTACAGGGATTGAATGTTCAGATCCAATCAGCTCAGTTAATGCATTTGACTGATATACAGTTTACAGTCACTGCAGCATTTGTATCAGATGGACTGACATATTACCAGTCGTCACATACAGTTACCACAGTCACCACGCATCAAATCCAGTTAGTTATCAGAATTTAGATGCCCACTTAGTTTCCAGTCACCACACACGAGTAATCCAGTCACTAGGGCCCACAGTTAGTGTCTATCATAATAAACAGTTAATATCCAGTATGTATATCACATGAACAGGTAAAATCCAGTTATATCTTCAGATCCACACTCAGTTTCTAATTCCCAGTCAATTTACAGTCACGGAATACAATACACAATCCAAATAACATATATCGTAAACAACTATTCATTTACCAGTTACAACCAGGTACAGAATTTAATGTGTGTAAGTTCGTCAACACACTCATGGCGCGCGAGTGTGTGTTTGAGTGTGTCTGGACTAGAGCAACCGTGTGACTCAGTAGCTGGCGCGGGCTGCACTGTGTGAGTTAGGGGGAGAGACATACTTACAGTGTCGTGGTTTAGAGGTTGACGTAGACGACTGCGCGGTGTTGAGGTGGTGTTAGATGGTGGTAAGGGTGCTGGACATCGGAGCAGGTCAGCAGGTAAGGGTGCTGGACATCGGAGCAGGTCAGCAGGTAAGGGTGCTGGACATCGGAGCAGGTCAGCAGGTAAGGGTGCTGGACATCGGAGCAGGTCAGCAGGTAAGGGTGCTGGACATCGGAGCAGGTCAGCACTATCACAATAATTATCTCGGGCATTTGTCAATATTTGTTGTCTCAATAATATCAATTATCTTCACTAGTCCCCTTCCTTCCTTCCTTCCTTCCTTCCTTCCTTCTTGATGGCAGATGTAAGAGTGATCATGGTAGACAAGCGGCAAGAAAAATACACACACATCTATCTATCTATCTATCTGTCTGTCTACAGTGTAACCTCCTTATAACGGACTTCTCTCCATATAATCCGTTACATGGAGGTTTCACATATAACGGACCCTATATATAACGGACTTTCCTCTCTTTATAATCCGTTAAATAGAATGTTTCACTGTGCCCTTCTTTAGCTGTCGTGTAAAGTGAAGGAAAACAATAATAATAATAACGCCGCCCTCCATAACACAAGCAAACACATATGACGTAAGTTATAGTGTTGTTAGGTCACGCTAGTGTGTGTGTGTGTTAATTATTTGCTTAATATTATATTGAGGAGCTGCGTCAAGATGTGTATCAATGGTGTTATGTAAGGTGTGTGTGTATAATAATAATAATAATTAACGGTTTATTGAAAAAGTCATCAGTCCGAAGGCTGAAGATATACATTAGACAACAATGACTTATTACATACAAAGACATGGGGTGGGTGGGTCGTTTAACAAAAGCTTTCATTACTAAGGAACAATGATTGAACATACAAATTATTAAAATTTACAGTTGATGGCCCGGGCGTGAGCTGGTCATGGAGACACCAGGTGGTGGGGTGTTCACGTGGTGTAGTAACTCCTCCTCGGGTGTTGATATGAAGGACCTCACGTAATGTGTGTGTGTCACCTCTTAGTGTTACTACTCCTGATGATGCATAAATGAACAAAATATTGACCTTGTTATTATAAAAGTTGACCAACACTTTATTGTTTCATGGTTGATGATTGTGGCTCTCAGGGTGACGCCTCAGTATCTTGACACAACTAAATGTTCAGTTAGCAGCAAGTACTGGCTGATAGATGATAACGAATACAATGTAAATTAAACTTACACACACACACGAACTGAGTTGTATTGTTCACTTGTTTTTATTATTATTATTATTATTATTATTATTATTATTATTAAGTTACAAATTACACGTAATGACCTGGAGTAGTAAAGGTAATATTTTGCATCACTTTGAAGGTCAAGACGATTATCGCTAATGTTACCTGGCGGCCGTCATTAATAACGGTTTGTTAGTGGACATACAGGTGTGTGAGAGTGGGGGAGAGGGAGGGAAGGGGACTGAGGGAGGGGAGGAGAGTCAGAGGGAGAGGGAGAAGAATGGTAGGGAGGGGAGAAGAGAGTAAGAAAGGGGTGAGATGGATGGAAGGGGAGAGAGTTCCTCGTATCAACTACAGTAAGTACTTATTATGGTGTTTGTCTCACACCCACACACACACACACACTCTGTATACATAGTGCAAGTATAGAGACAATATACAGTGCAAATATAAAACATTGCATAGAAACAGTTTGCATAGACAATATACGTATATAAACAACGTATATAGGCAGTTCATGTATACAAACAATGTACTGTATATAAACACTGAGGCAATGTATTACACGGGGGTGTAGCTCAGATGGTAGAGCGCTCGCTTAGCATGTGAGAGGTACGGGGATCGATACCCCGCATCTCCAGCTAATTTTTATTGTTTTAAAATGTTTATAAATGTTCCTTCCGCCGAGTTATAATTAGAGATATATAATGAAATACTTGTTGTTAATATGAAAGCTGATTTACTCGATAGTACTAAAATAATATTAATGGCTGAGAAATTATTTTAATGTTGATGTGGAAATATAAAGGAAAATTTTATTTGTAGAGATAATTATGTTTAATTTGTATTTTATTTTGTTAAGGTGAAGAATTAATTAAATAAATAGATATAGGTAGATCGACGAGTAAAATCGGTATACAAGTTCCTATATTTCAGGTTGTATGTAGGTCGATTATATAGAAAGATAGATATTGGTCCATTACATAGATAAAACAGAACGACAGACATTTTATTTACGTTAATCATCATACAATCACATAATATTTTAACTCATACATAAACAATACAGACATACAAACAATGGTAAACAGTATGTTAATTTAACCAAGAATAACTATACAGCTGTTAAACAATTATTTCCTTAATGATCCTCACTGTTAATGTGAGATAAATAATGTGTGAATAATTTGAATAAAACTGGAGATACAATTTGTTTCCCCGGTAATTTAGTGACATAGTTGCACGTGTAAATGAACCCATCCGCCATATGTGTTGCAGGCAAAGAGTGTATTTTTGTATTTTACCTTTATCCTCTTCACCACTGATCGGCTCGTTAGCCGCTTGGGCGATCGGTCACGTCTCTGATTACTTTTACTTTTCATTTATCCTCTTCACCTAAAGATCGGCTTGCTAGTCGCCCGGGCGATCGGTCACGTCTCTGTCACGCACTGTTGGCAAGTACTGGGTATGCACCGGCTCCTGATGTACAGTACCTGAACCCGCTCCAGTGTTGGTCAAGTCTTGTGCACTTGTAAGTATACTAACAAAAATAAACGATAAAATTAATATGTTTTTGGCTTTAATATATAATTCTAGACATCATATTCTACCCAGAGTTTGTTTAGTTGTCCCTGGAAAGTCAATATTAAGCGTATGACCAAATATTTAGTTTTAGATGAGTGACACATCAACTCACGCCAAGGTACTGAGAGAAAACGGGAACGAATAAGTTTAACGGGTACTACTATATATTTAACCAGTCATTTCTCACGCTTATTTGATAACTGTTTAGCACATAATGTTGCAAGTATAATATAAAACATGAAGACTGATAATTTCTTTACTTCAATCTCAGTCTGGTGGAAACAGTAATAAGAAAATATGGAGACATCAGATTCGTGTGTTTGGCAACAATATAACTGGTTTCTCATTATTATTTCACCAATTAATTATCAATCTTACTAACCTATCAGGCAGTTGGTCTATTCTTTGTACAGTAACTATATCATGATCTTTATTGTCCAGTGCTAGTGGAGAAGGAAGGTGTAGTGAGGGTCGCGTACACAAGCTAACGCCCTTCTCACATCTGTCCCGTGGAGTTGAACTTGTGGTCGCTGTGGTTAGATTAGGTTATGTTAATACATCTATTAACTGGTTTAAGATTTGTCTGTTCTGGAGACGTAGATCTGAGAAGTATTGAATGGTCTTGGCTCGCCCCACAAGGGATCACAGCTCAAGGTTGAAAAAACCACAAGTACAGAAAACTGTGAGGGGTAACTTTTTCGGGGTGAGAGTTGTGAACTCTTGGAACAATCTGCCAGAGAGTGTTGTGACGGCACCGAGTGTGAGCTCTTTCAAGACAAGACTTGACCAACACTGGAGCAAGTTCAGGTACATTCAGGAGCCGGTGTATGTCCAGTACTTGTCAACAGTGAGTAACAGAGACGTGACCGATCGCCCAAGCGGCTAACGAGCCGGTCAGTGGTGAAGAGGATAAAAGTAAAAGTATGAACGAGGTGGTGTTGATATAAACACCAGCAGATGATTAACTTGGAGAAGAGGAAGGTGGTGATGATGAGGGTGTGGTGTAGGAGACAGCACAGGTGAGGTGAACGTCCTAACAGTCACAACCAGTGGCGGCTCGTGAAAAATAAAATGGAGGGACTGCAAGCCTCACACAACAGTAGGTGACCTACCTCAGGTATGAGTTGTAGTTGATGTCCACGAATTCCCAGGGCATGGTAGTAGTGTTGGTGGTGATGGACCAGTATTAATTGAAAATAAAGTCGGCGTGTCTGCTCTTCGATGTAGCAAAATTGTTTATTTGTCTGATAAACACTGATGTTAAACTGGCGTGTATATTCTTTGTTCCTGCTTGTACTGTTCTGTTGAATGGTGTAGGTCTTCCTCTTGCTTTGATTTCAGTCTTTTCATTTAATGTCAGCTGGGAAAAGTTGATGTTTTGCAAATACTTCACTCGATTTTCCATCGTCAAAGGGTAATTAAAGAAAGCACGAGTTAACCACACCGTCCACACGTTGTACGAGACTGAGCTGCTTCAAGTGCAGCTCATTGTGGCGCCAATTAATAACAGACATGAATCGTACAGCATTGACAGCAACTATGAAAGTAACTTAAATTTTGGTCTGATTTTAATGAAAATTCACTTAGCAACGTATTGAAAATAATTAAATAACATATTAAATGATATATTTGTTGGTAGTGTATTATTGAGCTGTCTCTCTAAAGGACTCATACACCTGGCAGTGAGTGTCTGGGGGGACGAGCCGCCACTGGTCACAACTCACATAATATATTAGACAACACAATATTGTTGTTTTCATTAAAAAAAATACACTGATTATACAAGTACGTAGACAGTGTAGGTATATAGACAGCATAAATAAACAGTAATGTCTATGTACATTGTTTATATACCTACCTCGTGTATGTACATTGTTTATATACCTACACTCACCATATATAACTATTACAGCAGTACACTAGAGCCTCTCGTTGCCTCCCACCGACAGCTGTGTGTGTGGTGATCCCAGAAGACGACCATGACTAAAAACTCCAACGTTTCTCCAATTTACTCAAGACAGGATATTGATGCTCGAGCGGCCATGGAGGTCTGTAAGAACCTGAAGGGAGTGAAGTGTTGGAGGGTGAGGTGTGTGGGCGTCCCTCCCTCACCTGTTATACTGGAGAACAACCTAACCTAACCTAACGACTGTAGGATGATTTAACCCAGATTAGGATTTTTTAGTATCATCTGCCCATAATAATAATAATAATAATAATAATAATAATAATAATAATAATAATAATAATAATAATAGAGTTGGTCGTGGTATTCTTCCAACACTGTTAATAATCAATCAATTTTGTACGCCTGTCATGGTGGTCTTGATGTCTGATTGGTTAATAATACCTTCCCTAGTTAATCCACAGATTTGATTGGTTAATAACATCTCACTTAGTTAATCCACGGTTCTGATTGGTTAATAACATCTCACTTAGTTAATCCACAGTTCTGATTGGGTAATATAGCCTCCCTGACCGTCACACGTGGGTTGAGTGTGGACAAGTTGATGTTTATACATAAATACACAGTTCAGCCTTGTCACCGAGTATACATAGTTCAGCCTTGTCACTGAGTATACATAGTTAAGCCTTGTCACCGAGTATACATAGTTAAGCCTTGTCACCTATACATAGTTCAGCCTTGTCACCTAGTATACATAGTTAAGCCTTGTCACCTAGTATACATAGTTAAGCCTTGTCACCTAGTATACATAGTTGAGCCTTGTCACCTAGTATACATAGTTGAGCCTTGTCACCTAGTATACATAGTTGAGCCTTGTCACCTAGTATACATAGTTGAGCCTTGTCACCTAGTATACATAGTTAAGCCTTGTCACCTATACATAGTTGAGCCTTGTCACCTATACATAGTTGAGCCTTGTCACCTAGTATACATAGTTGATACATAGTTGAGCCTTGTATACATAGTTGAGCCTTGTCACCTAGTATACATAGTTGAGCCTTGTCACCTCGTATACATAGTTGAGCCTTGTCACCTAGTATATAGTTGAGCCTTGTCACCTAGTATACATAGTTGAGCACATAGTTGAGCCTGTCACCTACATAGTTGAGCCTTGTCACCTAGTATACATAGTTGAGCCTTGTCACCTAGTATACATAGTTGAGCCTTGTCACCTAGTATACATAGTTGGGCCTTGTCACCTAGTATACATAGTTGAGCCTTGTCACCTAGTATACATAGTTGAGCCTTGTCACCTAGTATACATAGTTGAGCCTTGTCACCTAGTATACATAGTTGAGCCTTGTCACCAGTATACATAGTTGAGCCTTGTCACCTAGTATACATAGTTGAGCCTTGTCACCTAGTATACATAGTTGAGCCTCACCTAGTATACATAGCCTTGTCACCGTAGTAGTCACAGCCCTTGTCACCAGTATACACAGTTGAGCCTTGTCACCGAGTATACATAGTTGAGCCTGTCACCTAGTATACATAGTTCAGCCTTGTCACCTAGTATACATAGTTGAGCCTTGTCACCGAGTATACACAGTTGAGCCTTGTCACCTAGTATACATAGTTGAGCCTTGTCACCTAGTATACATAGTTGAGCCTTGTCACCTCGTATACACGGAGTATCATACTTGATGACAGGCAATATACAGGGTGTTTCTGTATATAGTGTACATATATCATTAACCTCATACTAGGAACAACATCTTAATGACTATACCTTATTGAAGGGTAGAGACACAGACAGACAGGCGGAGAGATAGACACAGACAGACAGGCGGAGAGATAGACACAGACAGACAGGCGGAGAGATAGAGACACAGACAGACAGATACAGAACGAAAAAAACAGATAGATACATAGATAGAAAAACAGATACAGACAGATAAATAGAAAGAATGACAGACAGGTAGACAGACACGTTAATACGATACACACAGCAGGGGCGGCTTCAGGAATATCAAAGAAGGGGTCCAAGAAGTTTTAGGTGGGGGGAACACAGTGAGCGCAGCCGAGGGGGGGGGGGCTTTAAACTCCCAACCCCGAATTATTTTTGTTTAAATCCGACCAATGTCATGGGCATTGTGAGGCCATGTTATATAAGGAGATATTCTGAGGTCAATAGTAATAACTTTTTTCTCTACAAAGACGCCTGAGTACAATACTGCATTGAAGAAAAATTATTGGAATTTACTGGTGAAAAAGGGGGTCCAAAGACCCAGGACCCCCCCTGGATCCGCTCTTGTACACCCATAATAATAAATAACTATAGACGATAATAATATAATAAGATACAGGATAAGGTTTTATTTGCCCCAGCCACTTCACACAAGACACTACACTACACTTAAGGACTTGTGACACGTCTTGACACTTTATGACACATCTTAACAAATTCATAAGTCTTGACAGGCCTTGACGAAACATGAATTACCTTTGACCTGTGTTAACACGTGTTGATGTGTCTGTACGTGTGTTGAGATTATTAGGGACCCACAAATCTTATATATAACAACAGGAAGAACAACATAGTCGACAAAACACGTCATCATCATCATCATAATACAACGTGAAACAAACGCACCAACACACTCTAATTGTATCTTTCAAAACACACCTTAGTTAGCAATAGAGTGCAAATATAGATCTAATATATCAGGCTTTTAATATGGTGATATTGTTGTAGTTTTGCTCATATAAGAGGAAAAAGTTCACCATGCTTTGAACACTTGTCGAAGGGGGGGGTCAGTAAAAGCCATGTGTCTGTTTTTCTTGTTTTTTAATTATTATTTGTTTTTAATTGGAGGTGATGTAGTAAATACCTGTTCAGTGGAAATATAATAATGTGAGTTTTCTTAGTATATATTATGCTGTAAAGAACAACAAATATAGTATTGTATTTTTTGGAATATAAATATTTTTGGGGGGATTTGTGATTTTGACTTTTATTAAGTTAACCTCCCGGTGTGTTATGGCACATTGTTATAGTTTGTGGGATGGGAAATTGGGGAAAAGTAATTCAATTTATCATCATCAATTGTCCAGTTGCTGCACGACATAAAACCATTATTAAACTAAACCTCGGTGTGTTATGCATGGTGATCCAAACACTGATGACTTCACCTTAGATATATCAACACTACGTCACCATCCTCATGTGAAGCAGCCCGTCGTGTTTGATGTTTACACGTTCTAATGTAGTGTAGATCATATTGAGAACCTGTGACTATATACTTTATCAAAAATACATTAATTCCTCCCACGGTTTGTTTCGTTGGCGCCACACACACACGAATTAATTAACTTGTCGTGTAAAGGTGTGTGTTTAGTTAACGGTTGTGTCGTGGTGGTGGTGTTGGTCGCTGTGAGTCAGACTTCTGCCAAACCTCAAGTGACCGTAGTCGTCGTACTCCCCGCCGCCTCGCTTACCAAACCTCATGTGACCGTACTCGTCAAACTCCCTCTTGCCCGCCGCGTCGTGGAAGTCCAGTAGTTCAGGGTCTTCAAAGTCCTGCACCAGTTCCTCCACCAGCGCCGGCGGCAGGTGGCTCTCCTCTAACTGTATCAGGAAGTCAGGGATACATTAGGTGTCCGTGTGTCTATAACAGGGTGACTCAAGATAATTTATACACATTGCCTTACAGGTTTTCATAATGATCGGGTAAACAGTGTATATATCTTTTTCTGAGACACGCTGTATTAATATACTGCACATAAGTTTTTTCTTCAAGGATTAAAATTTAAGTTAGTTTAAGAAGGAGTACCTACCCTGTGTCTCACCACGGGGGCCAGAACTACCTACCCTTTGTCTCACCACGGGGGCCAGAACTACCTACCCTGTGTCTCACCACGGGGGCCCAGAACTACCTACCCTTTGTCTCACCACGGGGGCCAGAACTCGTGCTAGGGAGGAAGGTCTGGCTGGAGCCGACACTCCCCCAGACAACATGAAGGCCGCCATCACCACCAGCACCGCCGCGGTCCAGCTTGTCCACCTCATGGTTTGTAAACACTCGCCTCACCACTGTACACTGCGGGGGGTGGGGGGAGGTGCTTTAATATATGTTTATTATCCCGTCGTTTCCAGTGGGGATGTAATAGTAGTGTGTGTGTGTGTGTGTGTGTGTGTGTGTGTGTGTGTGTGTACTCGATCGTTACTACTTCAAAAACTGTAAAGTCAGGTACCCACATACAGATTATTAACAGTGACATAATAAGAGGTTTAACACGTGGCTGAAGTTAGTTAAACAAAGCTAAAGATTCATGTTGATTTCAAGCTAAGAATAATAACATCAAGCTAAATATGTTATTATCAAGCTAAAAATAATAACATCAAGCTAAAATAACCAACACAGCTAAGACTCGGGAAAAAATAATAGCTCTGCAAACGACCATCGACAACTCATTACTAAGCTAAACTACCTCAACCAATTAGACCTTCAAGTTGGTTAAGTGAGGTAACGAGGTGATTAAAGAGACAATTTATCCCGTTAAAGTAGATAAAGTTCTCTAATTTACCTTAAGAGACGAACTCGTGGTACATGTTCCTATAAATAGCTCTGAGGACGTACTTATAAACTCTTAATACTACTTATCCATACTTAAAATACTTATAAATATTTCATACTACTTATAGCTAGTTCAGAATACTTACAAACACTTAAAACTAATAATAGATTGATTAAATTACTTGTAAATACTTAAACTACTTATAGACAGTTCAGATCACTTATAAACAACTAATATTACTTATAAATATATTATACTTGTTATAAATACCTAAGACTACTTACTAGAAATGATTCACATTACTTATAAATGACTTAGATAACGACTTATAAAACACTTATATGATGGTTGTGTTGTAGTGAACTTACAGCAGATATTATGGTCATTATTTCTTGAACTTATTATTAGTTTTCTTACGTATAAAGATGTTATGTCATTATTATTATTATTACAACTACTTTTTTTACGTTTCCTCCATCCTCCCCCAATAGCCACACCTTCGCCGCCATTTTATTACTTACTACGACTAATAATAATAATACAGGTACCTCTAATATTGATACTGCTACTGTTTCTACTATTGCGACTACTACTACTACTATTATTATCATCATCATCATCATCATCATCATCATCATCATAACTATCAGTGTTGATTACTGTTATCGCTGCTGTCATCACCTGTGGCGTCTACAAGGTGCCAGACGATAACAAGTTCTGTACAAAGAAGTTGATGATGTGAGGTATAGAGATAAACAACACCTGCCTCACCTGCCTCACCTGCCTCACCTGTCTCACCTTCCTCACCTGCCTCACCTTCCTCACTTGTCTCACCTTCCTCACTTGTCTCACCTTCCTCACCTGCCTCACCTTCACCTTCCCTGCCTCACCTTCCTCACCTGCCTCACCTTCCTCACTTGTCTCACCTTCCTCACTTGTCTCACCTTGTCTCACCTTCCTCACCTGTTTCCACCTTCCTCACCTGTCACCTGCCTCACCTTCCTCACTTGTCTCACCTTCCTCACCTGCCTGCCTCACCTGCCTCACTTGTCTCACCCCACTTGTCTCACCTTCCTCACTTGTCTCACCTGCCTCACTTGTCTCACCTGCCTCACTTGTCTCACCTGCCTCACCTTCCTCACCTGCCTCACCTGTCTCACCTTCCTCAGCGGCCTCACCTTCCTCACCTGTTTCACCTTCCTCACCTGCCTCACCTCTCACCTTCCTCACTTGCCTCACCTTTCTCGCTTGCTTCACCTTCCTCACCTGTCTCACTCACTCGTTAATTATGTAAACATCTCAACAACAACACAACGCACGCTCTATGTACATAATATATTGTACTTCATGTTGTTGCTACTACACCCTCCTCTGTGTACCTAACTCCACTACACCCCTTACTGTGTATCTGCCCATCACGTGACACCCTACACAGCATACGAAATGATCTAAGACACAGCACAACACATTATGAGCAACACCACAGCATAATGAAACACAACACAGCATTACCCGAGACAGCATAACACAGTCTAATGTAAATACAACCTAACTTACAGCACAACACAGCATGAGTTCGAGGCAACACAGCACACCTTAGCAGTACAAAACAGCAAGAGTTAGAGGCAACACAGCACAACACAGCCATCGCCTTGCACCCTCACATGTTGTTTACAATTTTTCACGCACCAATATTTTTATCTAGTCAGGACAACACTTAAGACCTCCACTGTTACTCCATCATTAATGTTACACACACACACACACACACACACACACACACATATAGACACACACACACACACACACACACACACACACACAAGCCCTCACCGCCTCCGTAGATACAGTAAATACAGCGGACAGACAATACCCCAGCCACGGTATTGTACGGTACAGCAGTTAGCCCGTACATCAATGACAGCAGTCAGACGGTACAGCAGGCACACGGCACAGTAAGGTGATCAAGGACTGGCTGGAGGAGGGCCAAGGAGCTCACCGATGTTGTTGTTGTGGTGGTGGTGTGTGGAGTAACTCTCACCTCGCTCGGCCTTCCTATATATATATTGCCCCCAACCCTGACGTCACCAAGCCACGCCCACATCCTCAAGACGTCTCAAGACCAACAACACCCATCTTTTGCAGGCGTCTCAAGAGCCACGCCCAGCTCCTCCTTCTGGGATTTTGGAGTCCAGTTCCCCCTTGCACGAATCTTCAGAGCCACGCCCACCTCTTCGCGATGTGCAAAATGCCTCCTGTCGATCTGCAACAAGCCACGCCTACCTCTTACCCATGTCCAGCAAGCCACGCCCACCTCTCCAAACCCACCCACTAGCCATCTCCGTCTCTCCCACACTCTTATATTCTCAGTAATTTTTTATTTCTCCCCCTGACGGAGGAGGATGTGTGGTAAGTGGTGGTGGTGCTGGTGGCAGGTGACAGGTGGAGGGGCGTGAGGAGCCTACCTGAGCATCTTGAGCTAATGTCTCTTAATTAACGGAACACCTGGACACTTAAGTCTTTCTCGCCTTCACTCTGACCATTTTAGACGTCCTGCACAAATCTCTCTCTCTCTCTCTCTCTCTCTCTCTCTCGATCAATGGGGTATATAATACTCAACAGGCTTGACAGAAGTGCCTCACCAACACCCTCAAGGTTGAAGTAAGAACGCTAGTCTCTCTCACTTGAGGTACAACGTGAAGATGACCATTAACATCACCTCAACACTGACCACTCACGGTTCTGTGCCTGTAAGACTTAGGCTCAGGGTTCCCCAAGCCAGGAGTCCTTTGCTTTCATGCTCTGGCTTACGTATGAGCTTCAGCCCTAACCTAACCAAGCCCATCTAATCCATCCTAATCTAACCTAAGCTCACCTGAGCTAACCTAACGTAATCTAACCTTTCCTAATCTAACCCAACTAACCCAATCTAACCAATCCTGACCTAACTGAACCTAACCGAACCTAATCAAACCTTTCCTATCCAAAACCACTAACCCAATCTAACCAATCCCAATCCAACTTAACCTAACCTAACCTCACTATAACCTAACCTAACCTATCCTAACCAACATGTGAAGGTAAGGGGGTACCCGGGATCATTAGGTGAACGTATACTGTAGGTGCATCAAGTTTCAGGACAATCATATTAGTGTAGTTATTTGTCTCAACCTTAATACAGAGACAAGAAAACCAATACAAAGAGTGAGTAAGTAAGTATTGATGTATGTATGTATGTATGTACATATGTATAGTCGAGTTAATGTTGTGTATATAATTATTATTATTAACAACAGCGGCAGTTGTAGTGTGACTATTGGGGAGGGGGGGTGACTGGAGGCCGTTTAAAAAAAAGTAGTAGTAGTAGTAGTTTGCCCTCCCAATTCGTGTGTGGTTCATCCTACGACATCAACCACGCCTTGGTGTGCAAGAAAGGGAGCTTCATATGCATGAGGCAGGACGAGGTAAGGGATCTCACAGCAAATACTGTATGTTGAAGGAAATTTCCCATGATGTCATGGTGGAACCGACCCTCTTTCCATTGGGCGGTGACCGGTGATAATTTCAACCACAGGACTTCAAACAATTCCAACGAAGCCCGGATGGACGTCAGTGCTCGAGGAATCTGGACGCAGGAACTGCGAGCATTCTTTGACATAAGGATTCTCGACCCCAAGGCCGCATGTCACCGTAACCTAGCTCTCGATGCTGTACACATGAGGAACGAGAATGACAAGAACAGGGCGTAAGGGGAGAGAATGCAAAATGTTCATCAAGGCGGCATCACTTCTCTGGTGTTCACAACCTCTGTTGGTTTGGGACCAAGTGCAAGATGTTTCTATGCAAGACTGGCCGCGGTGTCATCCGAACAGAAGCAGCAGCCCAGAAGTTACATTACAGCTTGGTTGAGATGTGGACTGTGCTCCTCTCTGCTTAGGTCTACATTGCTTTGCCTCAGGGAACGAGATCTTCGGCCCCAAAGCCGACAACGGTCGCAGATATTGACTACGAGGCAACAGTCACTGAATGCCGCATAGATCTGCGGCTTATCTAACTCAACACAGCTAGGGTAGCTACTTTTGAATTAGGATATTTACTTTTAAGGCAATAAAATGGCGGCGAAGGTGTGGCTATTGGGGGAGGCTGGAGGGCATGTTTAAAAAAAGCAGAAGTAGTAGTAATGGCAGTAGTATTAGTAGGAGTAATGATCACATCAACACACCAAACATTCACACGTACACTTGGAAGGTAAAATGATGACGTAGTTGGCTGGTTCATTGGTAGTAGCGACGCCTCTCACTTCCATTAACCTCACCTCTCACCATAACTCCCGGGAGAGTGGGTGTGTGAGAGGGAGAGTGGGTGTGTGGGAGGGAGAGTGGGTGTGTGAGAGGGAAAGTGGGTGTGTGGGAGGGAGAGTGGGTGTGTGAGAGGGAGAGTGAGTGTATGAGAGGGAAAGTGGGTGTGTTAGAGGTAGAGTGGGTGTGTGAGAGGGAGAGTGGGTGTGTGGGAGGGAGAGTGGGTGTGTTAGAGGTAGAGTGGGTGTGTGAGAGGGAGAGTGGGTGTGTGGGAGGGAGGGGTGTAGGGAGAGTGGTGTGTGGGAGGAGAGGGGTGTGTGGGAGGAGAGTGGTGTGTGAGGGAGAGTGGGAGAGGGAAAAGGGTGTGGGAGAGGGAAAGAGGGAGAGGGGTGTGTTAGGGAGGTAGAGGGGTGTGGGGAGGGAGAGTGTGTGTGGGGAGGGAGAGGGGTGTGGAGAGGGAGAGCGGGTGTGTGGGGAGGGAGAGGGTGGGGGAGGAGGGGGGGGGGAGGGAGAGGGGTGGGGAGGGAGAGTGTGTGGGAGGGAGAGGGGTGTGTGGGGAGGGGAGAGGGGTGTGTGGGAGGGGAGAGGTGGGGGAGGGGAGAGTGTGTGAGGGAGGGAGAGTGTGTGTGTGTGGGAGAGAGAGGGTGTGGGTGGGGGGAGGGAGAGGGTGTATGAGAGGGAGAGGGGGAGAGGAGAGTGGGGGGGGGAGAGGGTGGTGGGGAGGGAGAGGGGGGGAGGGAGAGGGGTGGGAGGAGAGAGGGAAGGGAGAGAGGGTGTGAGAGGGAGAGTGTGTGGGGGGAGGGAGGGAGGAGGTGTGTGTGGGGGAGGGAGAGGGGTGGGGGAGGGAGAGGGGTGTGTGGGGAGGGAGAGTGAGAGGGAGAATGGGTGTGTGAGGGGAGAGGTGGGAGGGGAGAGGGGGTGTGAGGGGAGAGGGGGTGTGTGGGAGGGAGAGGGGTGTGTGAGAGAGGGAGAGGGGTGTGTGAGCGGGAGGGGGTGTGTGTGGGAGGGAGAGGGGTGTGAGAGGGAGAGGGGTGTGTGGAGGGAGAGTGGGTGTGTGAGTGGAGGAGTGTGTGTGAGAGGGAGAGTGGGTGTGTGAGAGGGAGAGTGGGTGTGTGAGCGGGAGAGTGGGTGTGTGGGAGGGAGAGTGGGTGTGTGAGAGGGAGAGTGTGTGTGTGAGAGGGAGAGTGGGTGTGTGGGAGGGAAAGTGGGTGTGTGTGGGCGAGTGTGTGTGTGTGTGTGTGTGGAGGGGGGGTTAAGGGTAAGTCGAAAATATTGTTATTGTTTTTAGTGATATTAGTATTATTAAGTGGACCTAAGACATAAGTGACCTGGAGTATATTTGGGGTCAATAAAGTTTTAAAAGTGTGAGTGTTGTTACGGTTTTATCGGTACTACATAACATTAAGTGGCTGACTAAAAGGGACTACAAGCTCTTTCGGCCAATCTTGTGTACAGTCTCAGTGTACTGTCGACGCCATCTTGGTATAGAAGTGTTGAGGGAGGATGACATGTATTGTGTCAGTATTGCAACCATTATCACCATTAACACCACGAATGCTACCTGCACCATTACCACCACCATCACTGCTATCACAACTATCACCAACACTAACATTATTATTATTATCATCACCATCATCATCAATCATCATCATCATCATCATCATCATCATCATCACCGTCATCACAGGTGTTAATAAGTGGGTCAGGTATGCAGGTCACTAATGCATTTCACCTTAGTGCTGGTGTAGAGGGAAAAATATGATATTAATGGTGGTGGTGGTGATAGCGGTGTGGTGTGGTGGTAGTGGTGCTGATGCTAATGGTGGAGGTGGTGGCAATGGTGTTGTTGTTGGTGGTAGTAGTAGTGATGGTAGTTGTGGTGATGGTAGTGGTGGTGGTGGTGGTGGTAGTGGTGGAGGTGATGGTCGTGGTGTTGTTGTTGGTAGTAGTAGTAGTAGTGATGTTAGTTGTGGTGATGGTAGTGGTGGTGGTGGTGGTGGTAGTGGTGGAGGTGATGGTCGTGGTGTTGTTGTTGGTAGTAGTAGTAGTAGTGATGGTAGTTGTGGTGATGGTAGTGGTGGTGGAGGTGGTGGTAATGGTGTTGTTGTTGGTGGTAGTAGTAGTGATGTTAGTTGTGGTGATGGTAGTTGTGGTGGTGGTGGAGGTGGTGGAGGCCGTGGTGTTGTTGTTGGTAGTAGTAGTAGTAGTAGTGATGGTAGTTGTGGTGATGGTAGTTGTGGTGATGGTAGTGGTGGTGGTGGTGGTGGTGGTGGAGGTGATGGTCGTGGGTGTTGTTGTTGGTAGTAGTAGTAGTAGTGATGGTAGTTGTGGTGATGGTAGTGGTGGTGGTGGTGGTGGTAGTGGTGGAGGTGATGGTCGTGGTGTTGTTGTTGGTAGTAGTAGTAGTAGTGATGGTAGTTGTGGTGATGGTAGTGGTGGTGGAGGTGGTGGTAATGGTGTTGTTGTTGGTGGTAGTAGTAGTGATGTTAGTTGTGGTGATGGTTGTGGTGGTGGTGAGGTACGTGGTGTTGTTGTTGGTAGTAGTAGTAGTAGTGATGGTAGTTGTGGTGATGGTAGTTGTGGTGATGGTAGTGGTGGTGGTGGTGGTGGTGGTGTGGTGTTGTTGTTGGTAGTAGTAGTAGTAGTGATGTTGTGATGGTAGTGGTGGTGGTGGTAATTGTGGTGGTGGTGGAGGTGGTGGAGGTGGGTGGTGTTGTTGTTGGTAGTAGTAGTAGTAGTGATGGTAGTTGGTGGT